ATGTGTAATAGCTGGCCTAGGGACATCAAGCTTCTCCATTTGTTCAGAAAGGCTTAATACCTAACAGTCATCGTTTTTTGTGAAATTCTTTATTATTATAGTTGGGGTTTTTTAGGAGAGAAGAAGGGAAAATTAATTTGAAAGGGGTTAATAATTAATCAGCAGCAAAGTCTGAAACACTTTTCAAATTATTTCTTCATATGTATGAGTAGGATCAGATCAGATAGGACAGGATTAAAATGGGACGTCATGTAAGCAACTAGATCCATTATTTTTTCCCCCGAGCCAAACTGTGATACAGAAGATGGGGCCTGAGGCAACAGCACTTGGGAGTCAGATTTCAGACTCAGAAGTTTCAGGCTGGTTGATTCTGAGGATTTGCTGTAGGCCCAGCTGTGCAGCAGAAGTGATGACGTTCAAGGCCACTTAAATGTGCTCAAGAGTTTAGCAAGCATAAGCAGTGAGAAAGTCTTATACTGAGATGCTTGACTGAATCCCAGAGCTGGAGAGAACCAGGCAACGTCCTACAGCTATCAAGGTGCCTGCACATGTGGCATGTAAAAGATGTAAAGAAACTGTTGTGGCATTGTAGGACAAAAACTAACATGAGCCAGAAATATTATGAATGAGAACCAGACAACTGAAGGATAAAAGCTAATATATTATAGTGACTTCAGCACTAAGAGGGAAGGGGGGGAAAAAAAGCACAAGTTGGCTGAAAATCTTACAGAATGAGCTACACATTTTTCAACATAGTATCTCAGAAGAGTCTTTTCCTTGCAATATGGACCTAGTCATATTTCAAAATTGCTGCCTCAGCTATCCCTTGAGCTAACCCATGAGCACATGCACACGTTCTTCAGACTTTAACACTTCATTATTAAAGGGAACGTGTTGTGGCTTGCACAGTTGAGAAGCTGTTTTGATTATAAAGATTAATTGCTTTTTTGGACAGAAAAAAATTGTTTTCTTCCACTCTTTGTACTGTCAATGCCTTTAGTTTTCTAAGATAATACAAAACCATATGCGTATGCTAGAGCTGTTCTTTGTAATACTTTCTTACAATATGTTTTACAATCAGAAATTCAGTTAATCTCAAGAAATCCTTGAGGTGGGAAACACCATAATCTTTGTTTTATAAATAAAAGCTAAGGCACTTGGAAATCAGAAGGCTCCTGAAGAAGCCTGGATCAGAACTGGTAAGAGATACGAGGTTTCCTGACTCTCTGCTGGGTGCCCTAAACACAGGAGCTTCCTTGTTAATTTTTCTTGTGAGTTTTTAAACTTTTTCATTGTTTGTGTTTGGTTTGTGTTTGTTTTATTTTCTCTCTAAACCCTGCATTTTTCTGTTGTTTTGTCAAAAGGTGAATACAAAGATAACAATAAGCATTATACATAAAATTACTCATACAGAGTGTGTTTGTATGCCTGTGATGAGGGAATACACAGCAAAACACGGCACCACATGGGGAAAAAACCCCAAAGAGAAACTGCAACAATCACACACCAGAGCTAAATGAATATCCAAAATGGCAATGAAGGAAAGCTAAAGGACATCATCCACAAAATGCTGAGTGTATGAATTATAGCCCTTAGCTAAGCCTGATTTGTGTGGCTAGCACTTACACAGCAGATAACCCAGGCTGGCAGTGACCTTGACAGCATTGCAACAGTAATATTTCCTGGGGAGGCTGAACAGTTTTTGACCTTTTTCTCCCAAGCAGGAGTTACAAACACTCTTGCATTCAACGACGTGGACAGAAGTAATCCTTGGTACGTGCCTGTGAAGGGCACAAACAGAATATGGCTCTCTGGTCATGCTGAGTGCCTGCCTCCCTCCTTTACCCTGCCCTTGATAAGACCGTTTTGGAGAGCATAAAGAGCATCTCCCTGGTGCACACATTCCCTTTCTTCCCATCTCAGCGTGGAGCTGAGCAGCCAAGCGGCGCAGAGGGAATCTGGCTCCAAGTCCATTGAGCAACTGCAAGTATTTAGTGACCTTCCCAACCACCACATCTGCCCTTTGGGAACTGCAATTGATTTTCCTCATCTCTGTACGTGAAGACAACACTTCTACACTATGTTCCAGCTACACAGTTAAATGTAAATTGGAAGTGATTTCTCCACACCTCCCTTTTAAGCAAACGTGAGTGAAACCCTAATTCTGAGTCATTTGTGGAACAAAATGCTGGGGAGGTTAAAGAGTTACAAATAAATGCAATACTAAATTTTTCAGCTGATGGCCTGTTCTCTCTTCACTTTGCTGCCAAGCCCTGTGTTTGCAGCACTCTGCTTCTCGCTGCCTGGAGCTGATAAAACTTGTGTGCGAAGCTGCGAGCAGAGTGCTATTAACTCTCCGGAGCAGTGATGTAAATCCTGAAAAATCCACCCAGGGAATGGGTGGTGGCATGACAGACATGGGTCACTGAAAGGAGTGGTGGGTCCTCTGAAGGCTTTGTCTTACATCCAAGCCCTGTGAGTCTTCCCACCCTTTGATGGAAAAGCTTGATACGTCCCTGTGGCTGAATTACAAGTGCATCTGTTAAGCTGCAAATGGACAGCCTGGGCTGATTTTAAGCATTTGCTCTGTTATGAGACAAACATCACAGTCAGTATAAAAAAAAATAAATTAAAAAACCCACAAACCAGCTCCATGGACAGATTAAAAGGGGTGACAACTAAGAGATGAAGCAGGTCCTAGGGGAAGCACGTCTTGAGCAAGCGCAGTGCAAACAGGGGCTTTACTTTGCAGAGTCTTTCAGTTGCTTCTGTGAGAACAGAAGAACAGCCTGTAGTGGCTGGGGACTCAAGTTCAAGTGTTGTCTTCTGTGAGAAACTGGCAATAATTACACCTTATTACCTACTTGGGCCTGAAAGGAACTTTTTACTCCAGTTGTCCTTTAGGGGACAGAACAGGAGGCTTAAACTGCTGGACATTAATGTTAAGGGAAGAAAGCTCCCCTGACAAGAGAAACTGAGTTAATAAGAATCAGCAGAAAAAAAAAAGGAAGAAAAATACAG